TGCTCAGGTGGCCACGGCCCCCCTCGCCCTCCTCGCCTGGGGCATGTTTCACCCGTGGCCGGTTACATTTGACATCGAGATTCTAGAAGCCTCTCGGTGTGATGGCCTGCCTCGACCGGGCAGTCGTCGGAGTTCAGTGCCCAAGTGAGGTCGCACCGCCACAGGGAGCCACACCAGTTTGACAAGAAGCTATCCCAGAAGTCGATCCCGATTAAATGAGACACGACTGCCTGACTGACAGGACTTGAATAGCAATTAAACAAAAAAGAATACCCGGATACCCGGCGTCCATTCGCGACGCGCCGGCTGGGCGGCTGCTGGTCTCGTGATGCCCCAGTGCCAGTAACGCGTTTCTGCATTGTGCCATTTCTCCATGATGGACGATTGTGGGAAACGGATCTGGTTCTCACAGGCGCATCGAAGAAGGAGCGCGGGATGCCGTCTCGATCCGGGTCGGCATGAAGCGCTAGACGGTGACAATCCCACCCCTAGCGCTCCTCAAGTGCTCGCAACGACATACCAGAGCACTCTAATAATGGGGCGAGCTAAGTGCCAAGAAACGTGTCTGGCGCGCAGTAGTACTACATAGTAAGGCTTGGTGTAGGACGGGAGCCTGGGTGGTGGTTTCGAGTGGCTGGGACCTTGGAATGCAGAGACTCAGGATGTGACGAGACTGTCTGTCGCAGGCTGACTGGCAGTCTGGGAGATGATTGTTTCGGCCGAGCTCTCGTGGGCAGATTCGAGACCAGATCCGGAAGAACCCATGTGAGGAACTTGCCGAGCGAGAAAACATGGGCAGTTTGAAATCTGACGATGTTGACATCAACCTCATTCGCTTCTCTCTTCTTTGCTCCTCTCCCTCCCCGCACGCCGCCGTGACTCCATCTCCACCACCACCGTACCGTAGCCTACTGCACATGGTGGGATAGTGTACGGAGTAGACATAGTTAGTTGTGTAGATCCCTGCCGGATTGCCCACACTGTGGACCCAGCACCATCTGGCAGCATCGTGCCTTGTGCAAGGGATCTGCCAAAAGAGCCTTGCGCATACCAGTTTTTCACTTTGCCAATTCTTTTAGCCTGCAAGAGAGCATCCACCACCAGAGGGCCACGCGACGTCCCAGATATCACCACGCCTGCATTGCTATAGCATACTAGCAGAACCACGTAGAATATGCCCGTCGCGCATGACCGGCGGCAGTCAGGCAGGATATTCTTGTATCGAAGTGTCTTCGCGTGCACATGTGACAGGTACGGTACGGTATCAATATCGTGGTGCAGCCCCGGCACGACTTGAAGCCCGCGAGCGACGCGCATCGTCACGCCGGCTACACCTGATGCATCACGAAACTCGCGATCTTGAACAACGTGGTTGCCCCGACGGGGAGATTTGACCCAAGCATTCATGCTGCACACCTGGGCAGACCTCGCGGACCATGATGTCCGGCGACTGAGCGACCGACAGCTATGTGCGACCTACCGATCGGACCTGTCACTCTGACCTGTGCGTCCAGTCCAGCACCAGCTAACTCGGCCGAGAGAGACTGCTGCCCCCGGCAAAATCGTCATGATCAGCACTGAAATCACAAAACCACACCTCACATGCAGGGCGCACTGAATCGATCGTAGCTGGTGATCATCCAGGTGACCATCACGGAACAAGCACACAAGCCACCGGGCCCCGGTGAGAAAAAAAACAGGAGCTTGAATCCACCTCTGGCAGTCTGGATCAACCACATCTCGACATGCGTGGCTGCTCGCCCACAATGCCGGCTGTGGCTGATGTCAGTACGGAGTACTACTGCCACCCTGGCGGCTCTGGCCCTTTTGCAGTGGCGAGTTTTGTGATAATCCATCGCTGCCCCCCCCCCTCGGCCTCCCGCTCGATTGGACGACGTTGGACGGCAACTCATTCACCGCCGTGCGACAGACAGGATGACGCCTGCCGGCCTCGTTGTCATTTCCCGGCGCTCATCATCGAGATGCCCTGGGTGCGTCACCCTCACCGTCAACACAAACAGCCATCCGCCATTCACGAGGGCGTTGGCTCAACGACGCGTCCTCGTCCAACGTGGCTGACGTGCCGCGCCCGGATTGGCGCAAGGCTGAGATCTCGATGATCCGAGCCGGCCGGATTGGCAGGGCTAGACGTCCAACGAGTGAGTTCCTTGACCTCGCATCTCCCAGCAGAGCTGCGCAGCTGCATCTGCATCCTACTATCGAGGCTCCGACGGGCCGCTTGAAACGGTCTCTGTCCCCTTGGCTGCCCAAATACCCAGAATTACCCATATGCCCCCCGATCCCGCCTGGCCCAGCGGCCCAACGGCTCAGGAGGCAAGGACGGATGGGACCCAACTGGCCCACTGAGGCGCCTGCATCCAGGCCGGACTCGGATGGGCAGCCCAGCCGAGTAATGATCAATAATGATGATGATGTTGTACACAGTTAAATCATAGGGGCATCTACCAGTACGTACGGAGTAGCATGTAGACAGGACGGGGGATGGATGCTCGTATGCCAGAAGATGGCCGCCTCTGCTGGCATGGCATGCAGGTGAGGAGCCGCCAAGCTGGAGAACTCGAGCGCCCAGACGGCAGCGGACTCCGTTCCAGGTCCCCTCTGACGAGACCTGTGGACCGTTTTGCTGGGGCTGGAGCTGGAGCTGGAGCTGGAGCCGGCTGGAGTGCTGGCTTCTTCTCCGCGAGTCTTTTTCGCCTCTGTGTGTACCCAGCAGCGTGCAGAACTTTAGAAGGTGCCAGCCCGAAAAGGGGCCCCGTGGATCTAAGATTGGGTGCGGATCAGGGTCTGGACTCTCGACTCCTGCCCGTCCACGGTATCGCTTAGCTGGCCTTCTTCCCGGGTCTTGTCCCCACCGTTTCACGCCTCTCTCTATGGCTGTCTGGCCGTCTGGGCCACCTGCTGCTCAGTTCACAGCTTTTATCTCTACCCCCCACCCATCTATCTATTACGGGCTTTGCGGATTACTGTGGGCTGCTGCCCACCATCAGGCCACCTTCGCAGGCACGCACCTGGGCACGCACGCCCACGCCAACGCACCCAGCACAACAACCCAGCCCCGACAATACACAGTACCGTACCCCGTAAGGAGCGCTCCTCCGCCGGCTGGCCCGTCAGGCCCGTCACCCGTTCTGGCCCGCCCTCCCTGGGGGCCCCCCTGACGGGGCGAGATCAAGCTGCGACCCCTCCGCTGTCGCCCGCCAATTCGGGAAATAGGGGAGCACTATAGCGTAGTCAACGGTCCCCTTGTACCACAGTAGCGATGCGATATGCACAATCGACGACCTTGCGCCCGGGGCAGGACCGCAATTTCCACGGGGAAAGGGAGGAGACTCGGGGTTGTCAGTAACCTCTGTGCTACTGCCGCCTCAAGCTGCTATCACCTCAGATTGGATGATGGGCCGGATGGGGTGGGAGAGGCCCCAAGCGTCAAATAGAGTGGTCCAGTTTTTCGCTTTCGGACGCGGACGGCTTCTGCAGTGTCTGGCTGCCTGTCTGGATGGCACAGCAACAAATCCATCCATCCATCCATCTCATCTCTAGTGCTTCCGCTGCTTCCACTCGCTGGCTGGCTGGCTCGGTGCTCGGCTGGCCGCACGCATGTTGCTGTATCCGTACCCCGTACACCAGACGACAGCAAGGGGGAGATGCTATGCGATGCTGCGGTTGACCCCATCGAGCCCAGGCTGCAGCGTCTGGGCCCTGCTGGGCAGGTCACTTGCACGGCTTATATTGGCACAGCGGCGTGACTCCTGCCAGAGTGCCTGCTGGCAGGGAGGGGCTGTTCGGTCAGCTTACAAAACCACAAGACGTTAGGTCGTCTCGGCACATTGGCACGCCCTCGGGGCCAAGCCTCGGAGTTAGTTACTAGTATCTGTCAACTGTCAGTCCGCCCAGCACGCACCAGAGCAGACTACTGATGAGGCTTTGCGCTGCGGCCTCGCTCTAACCACCTGGGCACACAAACCTCGTCACGGAACACGCAGCCTCTTGTCAAAACGTGAAACTTGTGGGATGTTGTCTGTCCGAGGTTTACGTGGCCCTCTTTTGCGAGTGAGCCATTTTCCCCATAGGGACTAATTCTTTTCATTCCATTCCGTGTGCACGCCTGCTGCAGGTCACGGGTAATTTCCTCTGCATGTAGCTTGTTGAGTAGACATGAGTCTGGCCGCAGCAATGTGCAGACCACAGACAAGCATCATCCTTCTCGAGGGCAATCTGTGTGAGGAACTGGTGGTCCTGCAGTTACAGTACTGAATGTCCATGAAACTGTGGGAAAATTCAACGGGCTGGGCTGGGCTGGGCTGGGCCACCGACGGGCCCCACCCGCAATGTCCGTTTTGAGACGGTCCGTTTGGGGCCAGAAGTTCTGGCCCAGAACTAGAAACTGCGACGGGCCCCTTCTGGCAGCTGCAAGCATGCTCGGCGCATACTGTACAAAGCGAATACTACATGGTAAGTAACAGGGAGGCATGAACAAAGCACGGAGTCACTGTACGGAGCATGCAGTGCAGTGCCAGTGCAGTGCCAGTGCAGTGCCAGTGCAGTGCACCCATTGCGCATGTACGGAGTATGTACATCTGTACACAAATTTAGTAGGAGCACTCACTGCTTTGGGTAGGTGCTCTACCTGGGCCACCGACGGGGAGGAGGATCAAATCCAAATCCTAATCCTCTTTGCGCAGTCGTCGGCAGTGTCACAGGTTCAGGCAGTCGGGATTGATTGAGCACAATAAACCCCGCTGCCAGAGGTAAACCCCCTGGTCGCAAAGGAACAGACCCGATAATTGCATCTCAAGCCTCTCCGACCCACCTGCTCACCCCGTCAGGCCGGTCCGTGTGTCTGGGATTGCAACTGTCTCAGTACGCACTGCCAGGAGACCCCTGGCACTGCCCCTCCTCGCCCTGGCGAGCTGGGCGCGCACCAGAATGCTACCTGGGTACGTGGGTACGTACTCCGCAGGTACGTACCCGCCGCCAAGATGGTGTCTGGACCGGCGTCGAAAAAGGTACGTACCTGCCGTCCCCTGCCCTCCCTCCCCATTTCTAGTTCCTGCTCTGCCGATCTCCCATGTTCTAATCCTGTGCCCGGATGTACACCAGATTTCTCGATCCATAAGACCCTCCCACGGCCCCCTTCCTTCTTTGACTGCTTTATCACTTGGCCTTCCCACACCCTTCACGACCAAGCTCTGCGAAACTGCTACAATCCAGCACAGCACAAACAGCACAAAACTCTACCACACCCATCAGAAGCACCCCGTGTCTTCAGCAGCCCAGCTCAACTACCGGCCATCGGCAACATCCACCTCAGCCCCAGCACTCTCAAAGTTGTCGACCTTTCGAACAGAGTCAACAGGCAGTGGGCCTTCCTTGACCAGCAACGCAGCAACAGCAGCCGCAATGATGGTGTCTCCGGTACGGCCCTCAAAGAAGCACTACGACAGCTCCTCGTCAGCGTCCTCCTACGGCTCCTTCTCCTCGTCAGACTCGGATGTCTCAGCAAGCTCCGTACGAGCAAGCATGGAGCGCCCCATCGCCTCGATCGAGATCATCCGCTGTCTCCGCTGCGCTCGCTGCGTCGAGATGACAACAACCGACGACGCCAGCATGTACGGCATGATCAGGGTCGGCACTGGCATCTACTACTGCGACAGGTGCGCGAGGATGACCGGCTACGGCAAGTGAGCGACAGCATGAGCTGCAGTACCTCAGCACTGCGTCGCCGCCAACCACCACCACTACCAGGACCACTACTCCATACCCAGACGACACACGCTGGACAGGACCACCCCTCGGCACTCTTGGACCGCCCCACTCTGCACCTCGTCTAACACCCCTCCGCTGAAGTCCTCAGGCCCGTGCGTGTGGAGTTGAAGGATTCAATGGTGAGGTCGCCAAGGCCACTGCCCCAGATACAGCCGTGGCCTGATCGACCTGAGGTCGTTATTTCGACGACAGATTCTCCAGAGAAAGTGGCCGCCACGCACCTGGTATCAGTGCTGCTGATCCTGGTTGGCGCCCTGCCGTGCCTTTCTTTTGCAGGTTGGGGAGGCATTGCAAGGGGCTCGGCTAGCAGGAGGGAGCCTGCGGTTAAGGTTCGTCTAGTCGATCGCGATCTGCCGACAGGACAGGGCAAGATTTACCCCAACTGGCCACGGACCACACAACCACACGAGGGCGAACCACACAGCGGCGACGAGACGGAGGCTTCCTGAAGTGTGTCGCCCAAAGCCGACCCGCCCCGGAAAGCTTGACCATTTGTGCGGCTGCACTCTACTACGGATGGGACAGCAAAGCAAGCCTGCACGGGATCGACGAATGGCTGCCACCTATCTCAGTCAGTAGCCGCGCTGCGACCCGCCCGCCCTTACCCGCTGCATGACTGCGACGAGACAACTGCCTGCAGCTCGACTCAATTGCAGCACATTGGACGACAATTGAGTTCTTCTGGAAAGCCTAACACCCTGTCCTACCTACACTACTGGTGTGTAGCCAGACAGGTTGCATCGGCTCTGCGCTAGATACCACGGGTGAATTGTCCAATGGGAGACGACACCTGATTCATTCCCGCACACGCATGCTGAATCGCGGAGTCTCCATGCCCAGAAGTGATCAGCACGCCCTGCATCTTGGATCTGGCATCATCTCACCTGGGGGGTCCGAAAGCCTTCATTTTCTTCGCTTCATCTCAGCGTCGCCCCCACAGCGCAGGCATCACCCGGAGAATACGACTTTGGATCAGCGTCTTCCCGACTCGGACCCAACTGGCAGCCCTTCCAGGATGCCACGGGTCGAAGAACACTTCACTCGGCCTTGCAGTGACTTCATCGTCATCTCCCATCGATGGAACAAGACATTCCGCGGCTGGCTTCGACGAATCAATCGTCCACCCCGGGCTGCCAAGCAACCAATTCCGGCCTCCACCCATACCGAGGCGTCGGGATTCAGCGGCTCCACTGGACCCCCTTGATTAGGATCAAAAAGCCCACAGTCTCATTCGATTTTCCAATCCTGGTGTGGCCTGTCTTGTCTGAGGATCTTTTGCCCATCCACGACCCAGCTCTGACGTCTGTATGACATCCTTCGCTGGCAGTTGCGGGTGGGCTGCAAACCACGCGCGGTGGTGGGGTCGTCCCCCATCTCACATCTTCATCACCTGTCACACACACACTGACACAAACTCAATTGCCGGGGCTGGATCTCATCTGCAACGTTGTGGGACGGAAATGAAAAAAATTTGTTCATATTACACAGCGGGTCTTGTACTATCTATCTTCTTCTTGTTCTACCTCTTACTTCCTTGTTCTTGACGACGCACAATGTTTGGTCTTTTGGCTGGCGAATACCCCCTCATTGCGACTGTGGAGACTCCAAAACGGAGGAACCTTGTGGACAGACTGTTGTACCGAGCAAGGCGTTTTGCATTTTACTTGTTACCTGCGTTTTGTTGTGTGAGGAATGGAGGACAGGACTCTCCCGAGTACATAAGCATGCACAGAAGAAGAAGCATTTTGCCATTTCCAAACCTCAACTGCGAATCATCATAGCATACGGAGTACATCATTGAGAGACAAGGCATAGATATACGATTTGCCCAGGCAAAATAAGATATTGCACACACATACACACACCACATACAAAGTAACCAACCAATTTTGAGCAAGTGACAAGCGGAATGTGAAGGTGCGCATACAGCTGGTGCGGTTGAAGGGGGACTGGCTTCTGCGTATGACAGACAGCCTGACCCCGTCCGTCAGCACTCACCCACTGGACCTCGGGACCAGCACGAGCCAGTTCGTAGTAGTAGTTGGTGAGACACCGACCCGGGACCACTACACAAGATCCAAGCTCGTCTCACACGGGGACCCCCCAAGACATAAATCAGGCTTCGATGCATACATAGTCTACATTGTCTCTGAAATTGCCCGAGGCCGGCACGGTAGGGGCGATAAAAAGACAGAAATTCCTGTCAGCTCCAGCTGCTCAGGCGGGTGGTTTGTTTGTCTTGTGTTACTCTCAAACAAGCTGAGGAATGCTGTGGGAGCACCCAGCCAACCCGTCGTGGTGAGGCGGGCCAACCGGGCGTGCGCCCGCCAAGAGCACCTGAGAGACAACAGACAACAACAAAAAACCCTTGATCGATCTCGGGTCGGGATCTTGAAAAATATGTATTTTATTTATTTACTTTTTCCCGATCGTGTCTCAGCCTCTAACCTGCTGTTCTATAGATCTCTGTCTTCTGAGACATGATGGCTAGGTGGCTTGCCCGCGTGGCGTCGCGGACCTTTGGCAGATGTGTGTGCGGATGGATGCGAGGTCGGCGGTGCCGGCAGGGCCAAGGAGTCCCAGCAGGCAGGCAGGCAGGCAAGGCATCGACGAGGAGGGGGAGGGGAGGGGAGGGGAGGGGAATGGATGAGTGAACAGAGAAAGTTTCATCCCCGGCCTCATGCTGTGATCCCGTCAGGCAGCGAGCGCCACCGCCGCCGCCGCCGCCGCCGCAGCGTCAGGCGTCGATGTGTAACTCAAAACTGTCGGTAGTGTCTAGATAGCAGGCGCGAGTGTGTGAGGCGGGTTACACGGCGGCTGCTGCTGCTGGTTGCTGCTCGGGCAGCCAGCCAGCCAGCCAGCGTGGCAGTCGGCCGGATGTATGTAAGTGGGCTGGCATGCTTGTTTGTTGGGCGCCGCTGGGGACGAGAGTGGGATTGATCGAGTACAGCAAAAGCACAGAGACATGGGATGTTGATGCCCGCCCCTACGTCGGTCGGCCGGTTGGGTTGGGTTGGCGGGAGTATGTACTAATGCGATCGATGCCTCTCCCAATAGACCCTCTCTCCCTCCCTCCCTCGTCCCTGTCGAACGAGCCTCGGAACCCAGGCCAGCACGTGCTGTCGCGCCGCGCCTCGTACCGCCCAGGCCCAAAAGTTCACCCCAGGGGGGCCCACCTGCCTGTCTGTTCTATCTACGTCCTGCCCGCGACTCGGACGTCGTGATCGAGGTGGTCGAGGGAGTACTAGCGCGATCAGGGAGGAAGGGCCCGGGGGAGATATGCTATAGTAGTAGGCATATCCATATCCGATGCCACAGGCCGGGCCAGAACCTTGCGGGCAGGTGGGTGGGCTGAGCATGAATCTCGTCGGACGGACAGACAGACAGACAGCAATGGGCAGAGCTGAAAGAAAGAGGAGAGGGGAGAGGAAAAAAAAAACTCCACATCGGCGCCTGGCAAGGAGTTGGTGATCGAGCCCGTCGCTGGCTGGATCGCTCATCGCTCGCCAGCACCGAGGGCCAAGCCTCCCTCCCGCCGGATTTCACCCACCGGGCCAAGGGGCGCACGGGTGGGTTTCGTTGCCCGTTCATGCACCGAGGGTATAGTGCAGAGGGAGAGGAGATTATTGATCACGATGCTTCTTCTTGTTGTTGTTTTTCGCGCCGGGAGTGCTTCGGCAGATACCAGCAGGAGGGGCCTGGACACCTCAAGAATTCCCCGAGGGGAGAGCGTAGGGAGGGGTTGCCTGCCTGCCTGCCTGCCTCCTGCCTGCCTGCCTCCTCGTGAGCTGTCAGGCACGTGCGGTCGCGCGGCGCATGTGTGATCTGCCGTTTCCATCCGGCCGCTGGGTACACGTAACTTCCCCCTCCCCCAAAAGAGGGCACCGAGGGCAGGCCAGGCCAGGCCAGGCCGGCAGGCGAGGAGGGAGGAGGGAAGGAAGCAAGCTCAAGCTCAAGCTCCCGCTCCCGTCGCAGGTGGCGAGAGGGGGGGGGGAGGAGGAAGTCTGGGGCAGATAGGCTACCCCAGCAGCACCAGCCAGCCCTGCAGGCAAGGCAGGGCAGGTGGTCTAGACCCGTCTGTTCTGGTGATCATGCTTCGGGTATCAGGTATGTGCCCACCTGTGCCCAGGTGTGGGGACGGACTCGGAGGGCCTGCCAGCCCCAGCCCAAGCCCGTCAACAAAGCGAGCACGCCCCGGAGACAGCTGTCTGTTCGGGGGCAGGAGGATGGGCTGGATGGATGGATTGGGACGGGTTTTGGCAGAAAAATGCGACGCTCAGAGTTTGGGTGTTGGGTGGGACTCCCGGTGGACTGGTCCAGATCCCCGTGGAGCCTCCCTTCTGCCCGCTTTGGGAAGTTTGACGGCGAGCGCAGGCTGGCAGGGCATGGCGTGGCGACGGCGAGGAGGCTCGGACAAGACCAGGGCAGGGCAGGGCAGGGCAGGAGACATGCGTGACCTACAACGGTTTATGTGCATGCGTCTTTGCGTGGCTTGCAGAGTGAGCCTGCACGTCCGTCTCAATCCAGATGTTCATAGACTATTACTCCGTACTATTCCCCCAACCGGCACCACGTACATGTAATGTGCACATACAGTCAGACAGTCAGACAAAGTCAGACAGAAATGTCCGCCAAGTACAGGTACTGGCAGACTGACTAATAATAATAATAAACGGCAAGTTGTGGCTCCCTTTTCTCTCGTGTCTGCATAGGCATTACTCAAAGGACCAGAGGCTGCCCCAACCTGCACCTTGGCCCCAGTTGCGGTTGGTGGTGGTCCATTTGTACGGAGTACAGCACTACACAGTATATGTATGTCCTCGGCCTGCAGATGGGCTGGCTGCCATGCGAGAAGACGGATTCGTTGGAACCGACTTTGATGACTTGATGACTTTATGACGGGCCTGTTTTCTCCTCTT